GTCAGCTTGGAAAATTAAAGCAGATGCTGGTGAAGTCAGAAAAAAAAAGAGGAGCAGAATGCAGAGAATAGGATCCTCATGAAAAAAAAAAGAGGAGCAGAATGCAGAGAATAGGATCCTCATGAAGAAAAGAAGAGGACAAGAAAAAAAAAAAAGAACTGATGGACAGAAGGGCTGTCTTCTAGCGCTGACACATCAGGAGTAGCTTCATTGCTACAAAACCAATTGTTTTTGTTTGACCACTCTGGTACGGTTTGTAAAAGAAAAGAAAAAAAGTGGAATATCTTAATTTATAAGCATGTTCATTCTGTGAACATCTCCACTCTGCTTCTCCACACTTTCCTACTGAAGAAAACAATATCTGTGAAATGAAAATGCCTTTTTTGCACATATTCAGAGTCTATTACAGCTGCTTGCTTCATATGTGAAAAATTGCCCTCCTCTCCAAGTCCTGACTGTGTCCAATTTACTTCATCTCTTTCCTGTTTTTTTTGTTTTGTTTATTCTGTCAGAATTAAAATTTGAGGAATGGGTGAAAACCATCTAAGATCAATATTTAAAGTAAGATTAGAGAGGTACCACCTAGGTTTAGCATGTAAAATAAAAATGGGGCTATTTGGGAATTAATTGTTTTGATGGTTTTATCAAAGCAGTATAAAAACCATTCAATTGCCCACCATACTAACACCATGGAGTATAAATTAAGTAACTTTTATGTTATCTTCTTATATTTATTAACAGGGCATAGTCTTGCTAGTAAAAGTGCCTCTAGTGAAAATACAGATCCTTGGCAAGTCCTGTGTGTGTGGAGACAAAGATCTCATGGCTTATGCAGAATCTTTTGAATCCTTTTGTCTTCTCCTTAGGAATAAAAATACATATAATCTATCATGTATGTACTATAAAGGAATACCCCATTTTCACAGTAATGCCTCTTGCAATCACCTTTGCCTTTGTTAACTTTCTGCTACCAAGTGTTGACTAAAGTGAAGACCCCTGGCTACTCCTCAGCTGTTTACCCATTTTAGCTGAGCACCGTTTCTGTTCATGGCTCTCTTTCTGTGAATTCAAGTGGAGGCATGCCATTCTTAAACTTAAAAGATCTTCCATATTTTCTAAATTCACTCTAATAATAGTGGCCTTGCATTTGTAAGTAATTCCAGGAAGAAGGGCTTCCTCCTTTTCCAGTTAGTAAAAACTCAAGACTCTGGACTGGACTGTGTTTTCTAGCCAATGATAAGGCCCTGGGGATTTTCTTTGCATGTCAGCTGCAGCATGGACTGAATCTTGGTTACGGCTAACTGATCTGGACTGTAAAACTCAGTATTAGCGCTAGATAGTTGCCAAGAGTTAGAATTTTCTGCATCACTTGACACACATTTAATGCTCATCCTGAAATTTGCAGCCAAGGTCTGCTGGACCTAATCTCAGTACCTTCTTACCTCTGCCGGAAGAGGTCCTTGCTGAATGCATTGTTGCTCAGTGCCTGTATACTGAGAGTTTAATACTGTGGCTTAACTGGTCGAGGCACTACTTCAGCTTGCTTTAAGGAACACAGCTACTCCGTGGTCCCCAAGGAAGTGGGGAATTTGGCCACAACTTAGGAAGGAGCACTTAAATCAATCATTTTATTTAATCACCTTTACATTTATATTAGAAAAAGGAATAAAAGACACCATTATTTCTGTGGCTGGTTCTTCCTCGCCCTTGAATGAAAGGAGAGGCATTCTCCTTTCCTTTTTCTACATGCTTTGTTATATGGATAATGGCATCTCTTTTAGAACAGCAGGCTAGTCCTGTTGATTATCAGAGAGCTTCAGGAAGCTCGCTGGGCCACATAGATGCTGCTGAATACTGCCAGTATTTTAATAAATGCAATAGCAAGTTAAATTCAGATTTCGGAGAATTGATGTGATGGTTTCAAAACCCTTTAAAATGAAAACATGGCTTAAAATAGGTTTTGTGAAGAAAAGCTTCCTCTGGGCAGATATATGGGTTGTGAGATAATGGATTTGTTGTACAAAGATTAGAAAACCACAGAGAGAATGCATTTTTATTGTTTGTCACCATTATCGTACATGAATTCATGGTTCTCTCAGGAATACTTGATGGCTGGACAAATTTACCCCAGAATGAAAGAAAAGGCCCAAAATTTGTACCTGAAAGACAGTGTTTGGGGCATAGCTGTGTAGCTCTTTGTTAGATAAAACTTTGCCTTTTCTGCTGGCTGCTGAGTAGTATCTCCATGAGGACCTAACAGAAAGCTCTTTCTTGGAAGATAAATATCCTTTTCTTCTCTCCTTACAGAACTGTTTTGTTTTTTTCAATTTTCCATTTGCACTTTCAAAAAGTAGCAGAATAGTGATTATTCAGTAAGCAATCCAGCCTGCTGTGTGATTCAATTAAGAGAAAAGTCTCTAACTTGGGCTCAACTTCATGGGATGTCCATGTAGTTTTCTTTGTAGCAATATGGAAGTAGTTGCTGTTGCTTTCTTCTAGGATTTTTTAAAATGTATCTAGCATACACCTCTGATTTTCTGTGGAGGTTTCCCACCCAAGGACCAACCGGGCCCAATCCTGCTTAGCTTCTGAGACTGAAAACGTTGGCTGGATGCTTCCACCTGTTGAAATAAACCAAGGGTTTTTTTCCGCCATAAGCTTCTGCTTTCTGCCTGAAATGAAATCTTTCAACCTCCTGCAGTCTTTCATAATGATGGGGTTCCTTTTCCAGAGGCAAAAAGAGAAGGAATTGGGTGGATCGTGCACTTTAGCCTGCAGCAGTTCTGCCATTTGGCATCAAGAAATGAAATATATTTTAAACATCATTTGCAGCAGACAGCTCCTCCTCTATACCTCTAGATTTATCCATGAAAAAACAGCCTTAAGGCCTTGCTGATTGATAGGTCTCAGTCCATAGTTTCCTATTAGTAACAAAAAAGTGAGATGCCAAACAGTGACTCCAGCCTGAATATGATACAAGAGAGAGACCATTGAATGTTGTTTTGGAGTGTGGTGGTCTTTTGTTGTGCTGTGGGGTGCTATCCACTGTCCCTGAAAATTTAGTGTAATCTGATACTAATAACACTTACAAATAACTCTGTATTTACTTTATTAATTACATCTCTGGATTGACTTTGTACTTCAGGTCTGCAAACTTCTTTGTGTGTATGTGTGTGTGTGTGTGTGTGTGTGTGTGAGAGAGAGAGAGAGAGAGAACTTACCTGATGAAAAGTTCTGGGAAAGTTGTACATATTTTTGTGCTAGTTTGCTTGGGTCTACTAAAAATATCATCCATTTATGGATTTGATTTTTTTTTCTCACGGGCCAATATGGTTTTGCTTTTTCCCTCTTTCACTTAGGAAGATTTCCAGAGAAAAAGCAAGAGCAACATAGGCTAAATAAATAAGGGATGGTGAATTCTGCAGATGAAAAAAAGGAATTGAAAAAGGGTTAGGAAGGAAGATGGCTGTGTACATTTCTTTAAGTGCCTAAAGGTACCTACATTCTCAATCCTGAAAGTTCTTATAAGCCATCCTTCTAAAGCTGTGGAAGAAAGGCAATAAATTATCTGTTTACTGGCTTGAATAACTTATAGTCTGAGGGTTATAATACTCAATATGCAAAATGTGTATTATGAAACTTTCCTTCCAGTTATAAGGAGATTTGGACTGTTTGGGGGAAAGGGGCAGTGAGGGATGATAATTTGGCCACTTGCAATGTAGATGAGGTTATTATGACTCTTGAGAAACACCATGCAGAACTTTGTGTCCACTGGCTCCTGGGACAGCCTGTTAGGTTGTATCCCTTTGTTGCCAGCATGGTGGGAGCTGGAAAATGGGTACAGCAAGAAACTTGGATTTGTTGGAGCAAAATACCCAGTCTGGAGAAATATTTAGCCAGATGTTACAGCCAAGTGTTGCATTTTCTATCATGGCATGGCATTTTTCCAGTTGTAAAATTTAAAATACTGTATATACCAAGAATCTCGCATAGCAAGACTGCGCCCATTAGGATAAGGATGGGCTCCTAGCACTCCATTTTAGGCCTCCATAAGCTCTCTTCCATATAGAAGGGGCAGAAATATTCAGAACATTTTTTTCAGAACATTTTTTTCAGATTAGAGGAGCAAAATGGCCTAAGGTTTCTCATTTTGATAGGTGGTAGTTATGGGACAAAGACTTAAGACACTAATGTTATCCCCTAAAAAACCACCAAATATGGGAAAATGAGTCAGAAAAATCTCAGTGCTACCTTTTCTGGTGACTTCACAGCATTGTGGCCCTGTTGTCTGTAGGCCTCAGGTAGAGCACAAAGAAAAAAAAAATACATTCCTGAGCAACCTTTGTTGAAATGGAGGGGCAAAGACAGGCCTCCAAAAGATGAGTTGTCCCATGTTACATTACATAACATGGGACAACTCCATTTTTTTTCAGCCTCCTTTTTTTACAGTGACCTGACAGTTGTACCCTTGTGGATCATGTCTTTATATAGAGATTTCTTAGCTAAATCCATGTTCATAACAATTTCATGGATAGCCAGTATAAACATTTTATTGAATTTTTGTGTAACTTACACTTTTCCAACCACAACAATTAGATATGAAAAATGTACATGCCATTTAAATGGGCAATATTTAATAAGATAAAAAACATTAGCCTACAGCTTACTAACATCCTCAGTTGGGATATAAATCCAACTGAATGAGTTCGAGATGCTCAAAGCAAAAATAATTTTTACCCATCCTGTGACAACAAATGTTTTTCTGGGTAAAAGAACTACATTTAAATAATACCATTAAGCTTGGTTTCATTTATTAATGGAACAATATTTTGGCAACTGTTTTGTAAAGTAAGGGTTTCTACTCGGCTTCTGAGCATGTTTCTTTAAATGCCAAATGTTTGCTCATTATGCAGTTAGGAGGAAGGTATACATCTGCAATATAATTTTTGTACTGTTCTTTACATAACTTTCTTTGGAAAATTGTAGAAATTGGGAAAGAGGATGAAAGGACATTAGTATTACGTACCCCCTGTTGACCAGGAGCTGTGGATGCTTGCTTAGGTTAGAGTAACTTGACTGTGGCATCAGTCCCCACATGGTACAAAGGAAGTCAATGGTGTGTTTGACTGAAGCAAAACATGAGCTTATTTAGCTCAAAAAGGAGTCAGTCTGACGTGGCTGGCTGTTCAATGTCCAGGTGTCAAGAGACCGCAGATCAGTCTGAAGGTGAAAGAAAGTCAAAGTCAAATAGATGATGGGGGAGGAGAGATTATGTTTACCTATACATAGGGATGGAAAGATATTCTGTGTTCTATTTAGCTTATTACTGGTGATCCCTGGAGTTATAGACAGTAACACTGGCCACTCAAGGCTGTTGTGCAGAGGCAGCAGGGGCTGTATATCATACTGTAGGTTGCACTACTTTAGGTTGAAAAAAAAATAGGGTTAATTTGTGATATAATTTCAAAAAAAGATTGGTTATTTCGTGCTGGAACAGAAAATAAGTAACCGTGTGCAAAGTTGTTTTGATGATCTTTGTTCTTACTCTTGGCAGGTTCAGCTTTATTCAACTTGCTTCAAAAGCTGTGACTGAAAGCATATTAAAGATTGTTCTTTTTTATACATTATGATGATCAACAGGTAGATGAAACTTCAAATATCTTCCTGCAAAACTAAATGCTCACTTCTTCCTTAACTTTCCTATTTTCTGGTGTGTAGTTATGAACCGAACTGAGTTTCTACCACATTTAACAATAGCTATTAAAAGCCAAGAACCTAATATTTTCATAAATGACCCAACTAGTAACATTGCCCAGATAAATGTCTAATTTAACCACAACAATTTTTGCTTGAGAAGAAAGAATAAGTACAAGAACCTGACACTATTAAAGATGAAATATGAATTGTATTACAGGATGTACTCAGAATAAAAAATGCTATAATATAAGGCAAACAAGTAATATCTTGTATTTTTAAAATTCATTTTATTAGTTGATTACATGCATTTTATATTCCATATGTTTTCATGCCAATTTCAAATGAGAGTAAGTATTAAAAAATAATTCTTAAAGAAATTTAAAACACCATAATATTAGAGTCACAATCCTGTACTCACAGATGTAGGAATAACAACAACAACAACAACATAAAATAGTTATGCTTGAATAATACCAGATATGTTACCATCATATAATGCTGGGTTAGATCCTGATTTAGTTATACTTAGAATTGGCTCAATAAGATTAATAGGATAAGTGAGTCATGATTAATCCTTCTATCTCAGATGACTGGAAAAAATGTGAAATGGTGGAACTGCACTTACAAAAAAAAAAAGAAAAAAGAAAATACATGTAGTCCTATTTGTTCAGCGACCATTCAAAATTACAATGGTGCTGAACAAATGGCGGTTACAGACGGTCCTCCAAGTTATGGCCGTTACAGCACCCCCGCAGTCATGTGTTCAAAATTTGGGCACTTGGCAGCCTGCCCACATTTATGACTGCAGTGCATGCTGCAACTCCCCCCACCCACCTATCTCCCCCCTTCTCTGTCCTTCTGGCTGCCCTGTATTCCGTCGCCACCTATCCCTGCCACCCCTAGCTGACCTTTACCACCTTCTTCCTCCAGTTGCTTATTGGGGCGTGTCTGGCCGAGGCAGTTGCTGGCTCTTTGTGAGGCCTCCCCAATGCTGCGCAAAGGGCCAGCTGCTGTCTCAGCCAGACGTACCTCATCCAGATGCTTGATTCAGGTGCTCTTGAAGAAAATTGGGAAGGTTTAAAATGTTTGGACTTCAGTGAATGAAGAGTTCCTAATGAAAATTTTGGTTTCCTTTTTCTATCTGTGCCCAAAATAAGTCACCATACATAACTCAATGCCTTTTGGAACAGAAGGACTTCCCTTCCCTTGCCACTATATGAGAAGGGCCTTGGGGAATGTTTGCTATTTGAAAACCAGGGTCCTATTTCTGAGTATTGATTGGCAAAAGACAAAATAATGACTAGTTCCAAAATTGTCCAGTGAGCTTTGTGGTTAAGTAGGAACTTCAACCTGGGTCTCCCTGTTCCCAGTTCAATGCTCTACCCACTACATCCCATTGAAAACACTACTGTTCTAAAGACTGGGTTTCTAAGAAACAGCAATACAATTCTCTTAAAGGCTTAGAAATGTATGTTGCTGAAAGCTCAGAGGATAAGAATTCTCTGTAGATTTATAATGCTACATTTCTAAGCCTTGCTGTAATTAATGAACAAGAACATTGGGTTTGAACAAAATATGCTCAATCCTGCAGTAAAGTAGTTTTAGCTGTTGAAATGAAGGGTGTTACTTGGAGAAGTGAGGACCCTTTGCAAAGTAAGAAAGATTACTTTAATGAATTCCCCTGTAGGAATACAAAATAAGCATTCTGGTCTCCTACTAAGCATTATTCCTCCCAATCTATATATTGCACAGTTGAGAAAACACATTCCTCCTCTTAGAGCTCTTCACTTAACAATTCCTTCTGAAAAGCAGACTCTTTTGTTCCTTGGTTCTGGTTTAATTATCTTCAATTTTAGATTTGATTTTGGAAGGTGAATTCCTTTCACTAGACTATCATGAAAAGATTTCCTCCCTAAGAAGGTCCAGGTTAAGTAAGACCAACATCACAAGCATTAGGGTAGTTGTATAATGAGACCTCGATTGAACAGAGTGGGGGGGGGGGTCTCAGTTAAAACCAATTATCCATTAAATATATCATTGTGTCAGTGTACATAATTTTTGTAATTATGCAAATGATGAAAATAGCTGCAAAAATTCAGATTTATGTGAATCATTTGGTGTACAGTGGATACAATGGGCTTTGTTATTTTGGTGTTATATCAAATGACTGCTAAGCGTTACTGTAATATAGCTTAACTCTTGCCCTCTAAGGGCAGCAACAGGTTGCTTAATCAACCAAGATATGTTGGAGTATTCTCAGATAGTTTTCATCTGAGGTAGTTTTTCAGATTTTAGATCAGATAGTTTTCATCTGATAGTTTTCATCACTCCATTGGCCTTTCCCCATTTCATGATACCAACATGCTCTGACAATATATTTTTTCTCATGTATATCCATGACATTGCCTTCATCTTGTTCATAGCCCATTAATGAGACAGGCTTAATGAGACAGGCTTAACTATCATATACCAGTGCTAAAATGATGTTTTTCCTTTTAATCCAACAGCAGCCAATGGCAGCCATAAGACGTGTTCTTCTTCATTCTGCTTTCACTCCCATTTCTTTCACATCTTTTCTTTTCATCCATGTCAATTTTTTCCCCAAGATCCACTCAGCACCGAAAAACGTATCTGTCTCATATTCATAACTTGTAACCTTCACTAGTTCTCTTAGTGTTTGATAAAAAAACAATACATTGAGTTATGCTTTTAGATTTATATTTATTCCATTGCATGCATATGGATTAAAGCACATATTTTTAAAATAAATACCAATTATTTTTTTCCTTCATTCTTGGGTCTCTGAATGGACCAATAACATTTTCTGTACTCTTCCATCCATTCATTCACCTAGCACAATGATTTTATCCACTGGGTTACATTCATTCAAAATATTCATATCTGGTTCTTCCATTATTTGTTCATTGTTGCGTAGCTTGCAGTTATCACCAATCTATGCTTCCTATTTTTATATATGCCACATCAACCTAGATGGCCCCAATTCATATTTTCTGACATACATTTTATTCCTTTCCTTTCTAATTAAACTTACATATTTCCTTGCATGTTTTAATCCACTCCACAAGATCAAATCACATTCTTTCAGCTCAATTTTATCTTTTCCTCTTCTCTTATTTTCACACAAAATATATCTCTATTTTTGTTTGCTTGTTTTCTTTCATTTGTTAATTCATGCTTTTACCATTTACTCTTCTTAGAATTCAAGTTGAAATCTTCCATATGCTATAGTCATCACCAGATGGGTCCATAAATATTGACCTACGTTGCCCATCATGGCTTTGGTCAATCAAGGCTTTCACTTTCTAATAGGATAGAGAAGTTACCAGCATTAGATGTACCTGTGCCACATACAGTATTCCCTGCTAATGGTAAGGGCTGTACTAGTCAATTTTGGAACATTTGGGCCAATATATCATAAGCATACAAGCATACACTACAAACACAATGAGAGCCCAGCTTTATCCCAGGCATATTCATAGTGTTCTAACTAATGTCATATCTTTAATCTATAGAACACCTTGTAAGTCAACATACTGTTGCCTGCAACTAGGAGGTACGTGCCATGTACTGACACATACACAAATGTTGGTAATTGTTGCTTTTTGCTCCCCCTTGCTTTACCAGGAACAACTGCCTGCATCTGCTCAACCTGATGCCATGGGAAAAGCACACAATGTTCTGTTTCCAATCCTATCAGTTTGGATTAGTACCTGAAAGCCATTTTAGCCATTATTAGTATTCGTTTATTCTATTTATATATCTAATGATTCCTTTCCAAATTATTTTGAGAGAGACACAGCACAGTAAAAATACAGCAGGAATTTAAAATAGGAAAAATCTAAAAGAGAAATATTTTTCACAAGTTGACAGCTGTGAAACAACAGGCTGTACTGCACCTGGAACAGCAGTATCATCCAGTAGGTTACCAACTAAGGAAATGTTTTGAATTGATAGCTGAACAAAATAACATCAGTGGTTTGATCTTCACTTGATACCTCACAATGATGCCACAATATTAGGAGGAAATATTTCCAGCATGCTACAGTTACTTATTTAATTTCCCCAGGAATAATACCCAGAACAGGATCTATGGAGTTAGATTATACGTCCATTTGTTCCTATTATTTAGCTATTCATTGCATGTATATTCCATCTTTCTTGTAGAGCTCAAGGCAGATTTCATGTGGGTCTCTTCTAATTTTATCCCCAGAATAATCTCCTAAACTGAGAGGAAGTGAGTGGCTCAAAGTCATGTAGTGAGTTCCATGGTCAAGTGGGGATTAGAAGGTGAGCCTCTCTGGCTTAAATCCTTCATTTCTTAACCGCTACATTTACTTCTTCTTTTCAGCTCAAAGAACCATACAATTTTAGTCACTCTTGTAGGTAGCATGAAGTAACAGGATGACATTGTTGCAAATTAAGGTCTACTGTGTATTTGTAGTAAAGGCAGTACAGATTTGATTGATTTCCTAAGTTATCTCTTTAACTATGCTATAATTATC